CCATTAGTCAGTGGATCTGCTAACCATCAGCTTATGACAGTCGACCACTAACCTTTGCCCCCTTCTCCCTTGCAAAAATCTATACGTAACCCCCTTAACCCCCCCCTAAGCCTAACCAATCAAAACCCTACACTTCATATGTATTTAGTATTAACCAATCACCTGGCTACTAACAACCAAAGCTTGTTGTATTCTCAATAAAAACCCTGCTAGTTAGAGACTCAGGGCTCTCAATCTCGATCCGCTGCGTCGGTGACAATTGAGAGTCCCTGCTTAAGCTTGAATAAACGACCCTCGTGTGCTTACATCGGAAACGGCCTCCTGGTGGTCTCTGGGACTTCACGATCTGGGCACAACACTAGCACTCTGTTCCCTTACTCTGACCAAAGCTTATGCCCAGGCCTTCCCACAGCCCTATCAGATGGAGTGGGTGGCCCCAAGGAACAGGCAACTCTCTGTGTCCTCACAGCATAAGCATAAGCCTGGACAGTCAGAGGCCCACCCACTCTGTCTAACCCCTGGCCCCTCTGCCCCCTGGACCACAGAAGGATCCTGTGTTCGTACAGTTCTTCAGATGGGGAGAAAAATGACCCAAGGCACAATCCCCAAGAGCACAACTTGATCGTGTCTAGATTTTTCTCACATGCCCCAAAGCAAGTTCTCCACTGTTCACACCTCCAAGGAGGAAACTCTTGGCCCTGTCCGTTTCCCACCTGGCTTTTAAAATCTGTATTTGCTTGAGCACCTACTATGTATCAGCCTTATGCTGAGACCTTTCCATGTATTATCTTATTGTTCTTACAATAAAACACAATGGAGCCAGGGAATTAACTCAGTGACACCACCCCTGCCTTGAAAGCTCAAGGTCCTGAGTTCGACCCCTGGTACTAACAACAACCAAAAAATGAATGAAGAAACTAAGGCAAGAAGTGGCAAAGTAATTCTCAAAGGTCACATAACAACCAGATGGCAGAAGTGACCCTGTGCCTTATGGGCACCACCTCCCCTCAGCCTGAGGTCATTCCCTGGCAGGAGATTTCCATCAGGAGTTGTGGAAAAGGGGCCCCATCAACCCCAACCACAGGAAGCTGCCTGGAGGAGGTGTGTCTGCCCAGAGAAGACCAGAGGAATGCAGGTCAAGGTGGCATTCGTTAGGGACAACATGCAGGTCACCTGGACAGTTTGGCTTTCTCCACGAAGCTCTCCCAGACTCTATCATTCCTCAGCAGTATCTGCAGGTCATCAGTGCTCATGGTGCCCAGAACATCCTCAGTGACATACTCCATAAAGCTGTTGCTCTCTAGTTGGGGACAAAGAAGAATAAAGTTAGAAGAGAGCTTGGTGGGGGATGACGGGTTAAATATTCATCTTCCTGAGCAGCTCTCACATGGTTTTGTTTGGGGGATTTTGTTTTTGTTTTGTTTCTTGATTTTCCAAGTATATACTAGGGATCAATGGCCTTACACATACAAGTGCTCTTCTACTGGACTACATGCCGAGATCTATTTCATTTTAGTTTGAGACAAGGTCCCCCTAAGTTGCCCAGACTAAACTGAAATTTGCTATCCTCTTGTCTCAGCCACCTGAAGACATAGGAATACAGGTGTGTAACACAACAACTGGACAAATGTGATATTTTTCATGAAGCCAGCAGTGTTATGCACTGAATTGTGTGCCACAAACTCATAAGTTTTGGGGGGTTTTTTTGGTTCCAGGGATCGAACTCGGGTCCTTGTGCTTGTGGGCAGGCAACAGAACCTCTGAGCTAAATCCCGGCCCACAAACTCATTAGTTAAAGCCCTAACTCCCAGTCACTGAATTTGCAGATAAAGTCAATAAGGCAGTGACATAATTAAAATTGAATGAGGTCATAAGAGTAGGGCCCAAATCCATAGGGCATGTGTCATTACAGGAACAGAAAAGACACCAGATCTCTCCTTCCCTCTCCTGCTGCCCATTGTCCCTCTTTCTTCTCACTGTCCATGCTCAGGGAAAAGCCATGTACAGACACAGTTGAGAAGCCTCCCTCTGCAAACCAGGAAGAGAGACCTCACCAGAACCAACCCTGCCCACCTTGATCAATGACTTTGTCTTCCAGAACCATAAAAAAGACATCTTTTTTTGTTTTTTGTACCAGGGATCAAACTCAGGTCCTTCCATTTGTGAAGCAGGCAGTGGAACCACTGAGCTAAATCCCTGGTGAAAAAGGCATCTTTTGTTTAAGCCATCTAGGCTGTAGTGTGGTAGGATAGAGCCCCAGAAGTCTAATACACCAGGCTATGCCGTGGTGCTCTGCAGAGAAATGAAGCCTTTTCAACTCAGGGCAATGAGAAAGTGAGTCTTTCAGCCCTGAGATGTGGGAAAGTTCCCCATATGGCTTCCCTCTACCACAAGCCCATTACATGCTCTACCCTGTGTACCTGCATCATCCTGATGTGAATTTCAACCCATCAGTTGGTTGTGAAAATAGTTTCTTGGCTCAACAGCAACATTTAAAAAGGAAACAGAATAGACAACATCAGAGTATTGAACAGAATAAGGGTGAGTGTTGTTTTTGTAAAGTATTTCATATATCTGATATTATCTAAATTACTTTGTGGGACCTAAATGTGCTTAGGAATCCAAACTTTTTAATCTTTTAAAATTATTTTAAGATTATTTAAAATTTTATATTTTAATGACCTATAACAATTGTACATATCTCTTAGGTACAGTGTGATATTTCACAGAATTTGCACGTCATCTCCACCAACATTTATCGTATCCTTGATTTGAGCACATTCAAAATCCACTGTGGGAACTATGTTGAAGTGCATAACTCAGAAGAAATTTTCATCCTTCCAAAAGCCATCACAGAGCCTGGTCATCAACTGCGTTAGTGTGTTTCACAGCGAAACAAATCGATTTCCACATTCACTTGAGACAGTGAGTGTGATGGCTGTGAACAGTCTCAGACCAACAAGGAGGGCGGGGTTCCTACTCCAGTGTGTTGCTCAAAAATGTTTAGATGCAGGGATTTGGAGATTCTGGAATTGCAGATAAGGGATTGTGGGCCAGGATGAACTGACGTGAATATGGGGATGTGACATAAAATGTGTTTCCTAGTGTGTACACCCAGATAGGCATTATTCTCATTTCACGTAAAGAGAAAGTAAAATTCAGACAGGAAGTGATAGCCCAAAGCCAGCCAGCAAGTAGCTCAGCATCTGAATCAACGGCTAATTGCCAACATTTTTTGATATCACATTAAAGCCTCTTAAAAAATAAAGTCTTGTGATTTCTGTATTCTATCTCTAATATGTTTCAGGTACTTTGTTTTCATTTAGAAATGTTTAAACTTTGTGAAGACCGACAGTGGAGGGGATACTTCAGGTGGGTGGTGAAGGGGGAGCTGAACATCATTAATGATCCTCGAGATCTTGTGACCAGGACATAGGCTGCCTTTGTGAAAGACCTGACTTTCTTGGCCTGCAGATGCTGATGCGGAAAAGTTTTAGATAACTTAATAGATTGAATATTAAGGTAGTTGTAGAAGTAAGTAATGTGTTCTTTTAAGATTTGCTTTTCCCGTAACTCCTTGTTTAAGGTGAGGATTATCTGACCTAACCTGTAACTTCATTAACCTAACAAAGTTACCATGCCAGGGTGAATTTACAATGTATATGGCCTGTCTTGTGTCTATGACTTGTAAACAGGAACTGGAATTGTATTTACACATCAAAGACCACTAGGGATGAGATAATGGCTAAAAAGGATATAAAAAGGGAAATGCTGAACAAAGGGGGCGTGAATACTAACCAGATGGGTTTCTGGAGTTCCTGCCCGCTCATGAGAAGAAATTTTATTATTTTATCCGAATCCTGTGTCTCTGTGTATTTCTTTCCGAGATTTCTGCAACAATGCCAGTGGGAAACTACAAGAGGGTGAGCACTTGGAATCTCTGCCTCCATTTCACATCTGTCTCATTTCTCTGAGTCTTAGAGAACACCAACTTCCTCATGGCTTTGGACAAACCCTTACCTGACCAGTGCTGAGACAATGACAAACCAAACCATTTACATGGACCAGGTGTCCTGCACACTTCTGCCCCCAACAGTATAATCTGGGAGCTCACAAAAGCACCTCTGAGGACAGGGTTGAAGACACTGCTCCATTTGTCTTCACCTAGAGGTATGCAGTTTAAAGTTCATTCTCTGCTTTTCACCATTACTTTTATGAGTCAGTGTTTCAAGGAGTAGCCAGACATGATTTGGCAAGAATCCGGAAACTGGCCTGAGACTCTAGAATCAATTACTTTGGGTCTCAGGAAACACAGTTTCCAGAGGCATCTCCAGCCTCAGGCTGTTAAGGAAGGGTTTGTCCCCAGGAGACCACCAGCTTCAGCCCTGCCTCAGGATGCCAGGCCTGCTGGGCTCCCCTGGCCTCCAGTCTTTCAGCTCCCTTGTTCTTCACCATCCCTACTGACAGCAGTTTGCTCTCCAGGCTGGTGAAGAGTTGAGGAATGGACTTGGTTCAAAGGCACCTGTGTGAGGAGGAGGAAAACAGAACTGAAGGAAGCTGGTCTTATTTGTGGGGGAGGAAGTGGTATCCTTCTGGTTTAGATTTATGTTTTCTGAGAGATGACTGGAATCAGCTCACTCCAGAGGCAGTCACACCTGGGGAGCAGGTGCCTGTCACTGGCAGGGCAGGGTAGGTGCAGTACACAGCTCCATGGGGGGGGGGGGCGTGGAGTGTGTAGTGATGTGTGTGTGTGTGTGTGTGTGTGCACGCGTGTGTTTCAAATGAACCTAACAGGATCCAAGGAGGGGAGAGACCCACACTCAGGGAGCTCCCCATGTTTACCTGACCCTCACAACACCCTGGGAGACTCTGTTCTCCCGTGACAGGGGAGGGCAGGGGCTCCAGGTCACACAGATGTGAGGGGGCAGAGGTCACCCAGGGCTCCAGTGCAAGGGCACTCTGGGTCACTCTTCCTCCTGAGCCACTAAGAGCAGTTGGGCCCCGCAGAGCAGGAGCTAGAAGGAACCGCCTCCTCATGGGCAGCACCCCAGGGTCAGTGCCTGGGGCAGGCAGCAGGGGCCTCCCCAAGACAGTCCTGTGTCCACCTGAGACCTTGACTGGGAGGCAGGCTGGGGAGGAAGTGAGCAGCTGGGCCGTGTCCCTAAGGAGAGGACTCGGAAGGGAGACCCACAGGCCCTGGTCAGAGATCCTTAGGTCCCTCAGGGGCTCCCCTTTCCCATTCACCACTATTCTGGGTAATGGCTCTGCCTTGGAGCTGCCACCTTGGTGCCACCTTGGAGATGCCACCTGTCCTGACCCCATGAGAGGAACCCACCAGAGAAGAGGAAGCCAGTACCTGGGGAGGAGGTGGAGGCCATGGCATCAGCAGCAGGGTCTCTGAGAGGTTTCCTTACAGCTTCTCAGGCTTTACTTCTCCATCCCCCTCCGGGTCTCCATAATCTGAGGAATATCTCTGAGATATCCTCTAGCCTGATCTCCCTACTTAGATTGCAGAATTTAGGGGTTTCTCTGTGGTTCTTATGAAATTCTTTTCATTGCTTCTAAAGCATGCTTTTGTTCCTCATCACAGCTTCCCAGTGATGAAACCATTCCTGCCCACCTTGGGTCCTGCCCCCTGCTGCACCTAGCAGCAATAGCACCATCTTGTCTGCTGATCCTGCTCAACTGCAGCTGGAGGGAGCACTGGGTTTCCACGTGTTACCTCTCCTCTGCCCTGTCTGGCTTGCACACTTGACATTTTCCAGAAAATACTCCTATTTTTCTACTTCAGTCACCGTAACGTCCGTTAATATCCCAGTATTTCACTTTTATGGTATTCTTATTCTGACAGCAAATGCAAAATCTTTCAACAAATCCCACAGCTCCTGATACTTTCAGAAACTAGATTCTACATACAGCTCTGCAAAATTCTTCTTAGATGCTGGGTAATTAATGAGGTCAGTGAATATTTTTCACTAACTCACTGCCAATGGGGACAGTAGAGTGTTTGAATGATCAGGGCCCCTTCCTCCTGGCTGTGCACTGATGTACCCACCAGCCCTTGAGGGCCACCATACCATGGCTGAGGACAATACCATGAACTCTCCAGATCCTCAGTGACATTGTGGTATGGAAGGTTAGCACCAGGGTCCCACTAGTCTGACAGATTGACCCCAATCTGCTCCTGGCTTTAATAGAGGGTAGACGTAATTTGGGTGGCCTAAGAAGGGAACGTAATTTGGGTGGCTCATCTATTTCTGCCCACCAATACCCAGTGCTCACAAGTGGAGTCATGGAACCTCACATCTCGGTTCTCCCTCACATTTCTGATGAAATAGAGTCACTTAAGTTCTAATTATGGGTCTGTATCAGGAGGGAGAAAGGGTGGTAAGTTTAAAAATGATAAAACTAAGCTAGTAGAATTGAAAAATTATACCACTCACCTACGATTACTAAGCCTGAATTACAGTAGTTCTTGTTTTGAATAGAGCTTCAATGGCACTGAACAAAATAGAAATATCTCTTTTAACTTCCATCAGCTCTTCGCCTTGACTGAGTCCCTCCTGCTAGACACACTGGAAGCCCTGGATTCCTCACATGGTCCCTTGCTCCCTCAATCCTAGCTTGCAGATTAATATCATTGTAGCGAGCCCAAGACTTGCTCCACTGTGTGTGGGACATGGGGGAGGGGCCGTGGTGCAGCTTCCTCCTTGAATTTTGCTGAGTGTGCTTTTTCCTCCCAGGTTTCCTATGTGGGTCTCCAGGCATGAAGGAACAACAGATATATGGAGAGACAGGAGTGGCTGGTGTGCCAGGGACTTGCAGTGGATTGTTTGCTTCCAGGCTAGACCAGACACCCTCTGGTGGTAGAAACCAGGCCTGGAAACAGGGTGAGGCTCCTCCCCGCATCTTCCAGCATTAGCATGGCTGGCTCCATGAAGTCCTGTGATAAAAAGTGATCCTGCCACTTCCCCAGGTGCAGGATGCTAGGAGAGACTGAACCAGAAGGAAGCCAAAATGGGAACCAGACAAAAATTGGAAAGGAACAAGTGCAGGGGCATCAGGGAAAGAAAGGAGGGAGAAGCACAGGATCCCCTGATGGAAAAGAAGCCTTGATCGGCTTCTTTGATGATGGTAAGGTAACATAACCACAGGTTCCAGGATTGGGGCATGAACATATTTAGGAGGTCAGTACTCTGCCTGTCACAAGTTACCCTCAAGAAAAGTGGGAAAGGGATATCCCAAAGAATTTGAAGAATTCTAATTCAAAATCCTATGGATGTGACTCTACCCTACACTTCTGCCTGCCTAACAAAGGGAGAATTGCCCTTCCACCCTCATCCTGTTTGTCTTTAAGAACAGAATGTTTTAGGTGCACTAGCCTAGAACATGTGAATTTAGGATGGCTGCCAGAGTGGCCACCAGACAAACTCTAACTTTATTATAACCCCATCTGCATGTGAGATGACACCACCCACAGTGCCACAACAATTGACAGTCGCCTTGAAAATAATCCAAAAGGACCATAAAAGAGGGAGGAAAAGGTGGTGCCCACATTCCCAGACAAGCTCCCACCGATTCCTGAGAAGCATAAAACTATTCCTGCCTGCTATTAGTGTGAGACCAAAGTGAACCTAAGAAATGAACTCCCCTCATACCCCTCCCCTTATAGAGTGCTGGAATTCCCCATGAGATAGCCGCTTGCTCTGCTTCTGTAAACATGCTTTATCGCTCCCCGGGAACAGATGGTGCCCGGTGCCTCCCTGTAACCACCAAACCCTGTAGCCACAGAAGGTCCTATCTTGGTAAGATAGGTGGGATAAAAAAAACTGGGTCGTGAAAGATATTCACAGCTGGCTGAAGGACATAGTGGCCTCTCCCCGAACTTCTTTGTTTGAGTTACCTATAATCCTGTACTGTTCCCTGCTATGGGGCTTCACTTCTCCTAGAGAGTGGAGTCCACGCGCGTGAATAAACTCCTTTCAGTTTTAACTCTGTCTTTGTCCCGGTGTTTGGTATTTTCCTGGCTTGCTTGACATAACAATTTTGGAGGTCCCAGTGAGATAACCATCACTCGGTGACTTCTGTCTGGTGTTCGGCCCCTGTCTCAGGCCGCTGTGGCCCAAGAGAGGCCTGGGGAGACCACCTTGACAATTTGATCAGGGCCCTGGGGGCTCGGGTCTCAAGTGGAGGATTCGGGTCACTCCAGCCATACTGAGAGGAGTTTATCTGAAACACCTCCGAAGGTCAGGTAAGAATCTCATGATTCTCAGTCAGTGGATCCTATAGAGGGTGAAAGGAAAGTTGGACTCGCGCTAATTCCCATGCCCAGGACTTCACCGCAATGGCAGGAAGTCCCCTGGTCAGTTTATACTTTTGGTAAGAAAGGCTATAGTCTGTCTAAATATCTGTATATCTGTTTTTTGTTGTCTGTCAGCTTGCTCTGTGTGCCTTTTGTTTTCAGTTTTGTTCTACAACGAGCCATGGGAGCCAGACAGTCTACCCCCTCTACCCTCCTTAAATGTGTTTTACAACATTTCTCTCAAATTTATACCCCACAGAAAGCAGATAAATTCGGCATCAAGTTCTCAAAAAAAAAAAAAACTCTGGACCCTGTGTCAATTAGAGTGGCCATCGTTCGGGGTGGGATGGCCAAGTGTGGGAAGTTTTAACATTCAGACTCCCTGACAGGTTTGGAATCCGGTTACAGGAAAGGGAGGGCCCCGTCACCCTAATCAGTTCCCTTACATTGATGTGTGGATGGTCCTGGTGGAGGACCCCCCCACTTTCTTGCCTGTCCTAGAGCCGCCCAGTCATCTAGGTTTAGTAAAAATAAGGTCCGCCACCACTTCTTCCACTGGCAGAGTTCCCAAGAGATGACAGATGTGTTTGTTGCTAAGCCTCTTTTAAAATGTAAAGTTTTCCAGGCTCCACAGGACGAGTATGACTTCCAGCCTTGCCTGCCCCCATATCAGGCCCAGGAGGAAAAACCTAAAAAAGCCCCTGACTCCCCTTCTGATTCTGTCCCCTCTAACCCCTCTGCCCCAACTGCACCATCTGACCCCCTGTCTCCCCCCATACCTGATTGGGACAAGCTTATGAGTCAGAAGGGACAACTAGTCAGGTAACATCCATAGTTCTTCCTTTAAAACAGGTCCAGTGAGGTGGTGGATTTGTGTACGTTCCCTTTACTACCAGTGACCTTTGTAATTGGAAAAATCAAGTTCCCCTTTTTTCAGAAAAACCTCAGGCCCTGATTCACCTCCTAGAATCTGTTTTCCATACTCATCAGCCTACCTGGGAAGACTGCCAGCAGCTGCTCCACACCCTCTTCACTACGGAGGAGTGGGACCAGATTTTTCGAGGCTGTTAAGGCGGCTCTGGGACAAAACCCAGACCTTGGTCCGGCACTCTGGCTTATCTGCAGCGAGCAGAGGCCGAGGTGCCAACCCACCGACCAGACTGGGACCCCAACACTGATGCAGGTAGGAGAGAACTGGCCAGCTACAGCCAGCACATTTTACAGGGACTCCATCAAGCGCTAGAAAGTCAACTAATTTGACCAAGGTGAGTGAGGTAAAACAGGTTAAGACAGAGTCCCCCGCGGCTTTCCTGGAGTGCCTTCTAGAGGCATATCAGGTCTATACACCTATTAACCCTGATGCTCCAAAAAACACAACCACAATAAATCTGGCTTTTATGTCTCAGTTGGCCCCAGATATCAGAAAAAAACTTCAGAGATTGGAAGGATTTGAGGAAAAAAACAGGTCTGAGCTCCTGAGTATAACCCAAAAGGTTTTTGATAACCGGGACTCCCCAAAAGAGGCAGTCACCAAGTGGCTAGGAAAAGTTACTATTGCTGCTCTCAAAGACTATGAGACAAATAAGCAGACTGGGAGACCTAAGCCAGAGAGACCCCCGTGGCCTAAGCTCAGAAGGGATCAATGTGCCTATTGCAAACAGACTGGACATTGAAAAAATAAGTGCCCCTCAAAAAAAAAAAGAGGGACAAAACCAAAAAAAGACACAGGAGGTTTGACCTTTAAAAGTATAAAATAAAAAAGTCAGGGCTCTTTCAAATTGAGCCCCCACCAACCCATGATAAAATTAAAAATCGTGGGCACACTGACCAACTTCCTGGTAAATACTGGGACAGCCCATTCAGTACTGACTAAACCTTTGAAAAAATTAACAACACGAGAGACTTTGGTACAGAGGGCTACCGGCAAGGGTGCTCAGGGTTATAAATGGACAACTACACAAACGGTAGACTTGGGTCACAGGCAAGTGACCCATTCCTTTCTGGTGATTCCAGAATGTCCATACCCCTTGCTTGGTAGGGACCTGCTAAAAAAATTGGGTCCAACAATCACCTTTACAGAAAAAAAGACAGACTTAAGACTAAACATCCCACAGGGGACTGTCAAAGTTATGGTGACTTGCCCATTGGCTTCTTAATACCTGATGCTTTCAGAGCCAGAGGACAAATCAGCTGGGCTGATTGGTGGTTTACAAACCGAGTTTTCACTTGTGTGGGCCAAAACTAACTCCCCTGGGTTAGCAAGCCTTCAAGTTCCTATAGTAGTCAGTCTAAAGTCCAATGCCCAGCCTGTTTCTGTCCGACAGTATTCCATCACGAGAGAGGCTAAAAAAAAAGATTTGGACACACATCAACGGACTCCTAGATGCCGAAATCTTAAAGCTGTGCCAATCACCTTGGAATACTCCACTCCTGCCTATCCAAAAGCCTGGTACTTCTGACTACAGGCCTGTGCAAGACCTCTGAGAGGTAAACAAAAGAACTGAGACTGTACACCCCACTGTGCCCAATCCCTGTACCCTGCTAAGCCTCCTGCCTCCACAATGACAAGTCTACACTGTGCTGGACCTCAAAGATGCCTTCTTCAGTCTGCTTCTGGCCGAGGTGAGTCAGCCCCTTTTTGCTTTCAAATGGGTGGACACTGAAGGAGGGTACTCGGGACAACTGACCTGAACAAAACTGCCATAAGGGTTCAAAAATGCTCCCGCCCTGTTTGATGAGGCTCTAAATAGGGACCTGGCTCCATTCAGAGTGTCTCATCCTGAGGTGACCCTTCTTCAGTATGTAGATGACCTCCCAGTAGCACCTGACGACACCTGTGTGGCAGCTACTAAAGATTTGTTGAGACTGTTACAGGAACTGCGATATCAAGGGTCAGCCAAAAAGGCCCAAATCTGTGCCTTCCAGGTCATCTATCTTGGGTACAAACTTAATGGGGGCACTTGGCAATTGTCCCAGAGACGGAAACAAGCTATAGTACAGATTCCAATACCCACCCGAAAAAGACAGGTGCGTGAGATCCTGGAAAGTGCTGGCTACTGCCCACTCTGGATTACAGGATTTGCGGAGATGGCAAAGCCCTTATATGCAGCCACAGCCAGAGGGAACACACCCTTAGTATGGACAGAGACCGAACAGAGGGCATTTGACACCTTAAATCAAGCCCTTGTTCAGGCACCAGCTTTGGCCCTCCCAGACATCAGAAAGCCTTTCCAACTGTTCGTGGCTGAGAAAGATGGAGTGGCAAAAGGGGTCCTTACTCAAACTTTAGGACCCTGAAAAAGGCCCGTGGCTTATTTGTCCAAAAGACTTGATCCTGTGGCTCCTGGCTGTCCACCCTGTCTCAGAGCCATAGCGGCAACAGCCCTCCTCATTAAGGAGGCAGACAAGCTAAGCTTGGGTCAGGGGTTCACGGTCAGTGCGCCACATGCAGTCTCCTCCATGCTACAAGGAGGCTCTGAGCATTGGATATCAAATGCTAGGCTGACTCAATATCAGGTGCTCCTGACTGACCAGCCCTGGATCAAGTTCACAGAAGCCACTACCCTAAACCCCGTCATGACCCTGCTGCCAGCTTCAGACCCCATGACTCCCCTACATGACTGCCAGGAGACCCTCCAGGACATAACTGCGTCCAGGCCTGATTTGCAGGATGTGCCCCTGAAGGACCCGGAGGAGACATTCTTTATGGATGGAAGCAGCTTCATTGAGCAGGGAGTCAGTTATGCAGGGGTGGCGGTGGTAGATGGCCAGGAAGTCACGAGATGGGCCTCTGCCCTAGGCCATGGTACTTCAGCCCAACAAACAGAGTTGATAACCCTCACTCAAACCTTAAACCTGGGTGAGGGGAAGTTTATTAATATCTATACAGACAGTTGGTATGCCTTTGCCACTGTACATGTTCATGGCGAGATATATAAACAACGGGGCCTACTCACATCAGGAAAAAAGGACATCAAAAATAAACATGAGATTCTAGCATTGCTAAAAGCTGTATGGAAGCCTAAATCAGTGGCTATAATACATTACAAAGGACACCAGAGGCCTGACACAACAGAGGCCATAGGAAATCAAAAGGCTGATCTAGCTGCTAAACTGGCTGCCAGAAAACCAGTAGGGATGGCCCCCACCCTGATCCTTAAAGGTTTTTCCAAGCTGCTGACTAAGCCACATTACTCATCAGAGAAAGAGAAACAAAATACCTGGGTGGGAGCTATGAAAGATAAAAATGGATGGTAGAGTCATCCCGACCAGCCAAGTCTGCTTGCCTCAGGCTCTTGGCCGACAACTAATTCAACAAATATATCAGTTTACTCACCTAGAAAAAAAAACTCAGACAATTGATAGGTTACAGGTTCTTAACTCCTAAGCTGGCTGCCATGGTCCAGGATGTTTGCACTTGGTGCCAGACATGCGCCCAGGTAAATGCCAAAACGACACCCAGAGGTGAGGGAACCTGACACTGAGGTGAGCATCCTGGGGAATTTTGGGAATTGGATTGTACTAAAGTCAAGCCCAGCCACAGATATAGGTACCTGTTGGTTTGGGTAGATACTTACTCTGGATGGGTAGAAGCCTTTCCTACTAAAGGAAAGACAGCTACAATAGTCAATAAAAAGTTGTTATCATCCCCCAATTTGGTCTCCCCCATACTCTGGGATCAGACAATGGCCCAGCCTTCATGGGTAAGTTATCTCAATTGGTGGCCAAGGCCCTTAACATTGATTAAAAACTTCGTTGTGCCTATCGGCCACAAAGTTCAAGACAAGTAAAAAAGATGAATCAAACCTTAAAAAAAAACATTAACTAAGTTTGTTTTAAAAACTGGAAAAAGCTGGCCAGACCTCCTCCCACTGGCCCTCTTGTGGGCTAGGTACACTCCTTATATAAAAAAGTTAACTCCTTATAAAATCATGTTCAGGAGACCACCTCCCTTACTGCCCAAGGTAAACTTGAAAAACGTATCAAAATGTGAAAATCATACTTTGTTAAATTCTTTAAAAGCCCTCCAGGTAATCCAACAGGAGCTGCGGAATCGAGTTCGGGAGTCCAGGCTGGCCCCTCAACCTGATGTCACCTGCCATAAATTTCAGCCTAGAGATCTGGTGCTGGTAAAGAGACATTCATCTAAGGCTCTGGAGCCACATTGGGAGGGGCCTTTCCAGGTGATTTTGACGACGCCATCGGCCATAAAGGTCACAGAAAAAACAGAGTGGATGCATCACTGCCACATCAAAGTGGCTCCTGAGGACACCCTGGAGGACAAATGGAGGGTCATCAGTCAACCAGGCGACAAAAAGTTAAGACTGGGACGGGTTGAAAATACACCCCCATCTTGTTAATATTTTCTAAAACATTGACAATATTACCCCAAAAACAATTGGACCATACTGGTAATGTTTGGATTCAGTTGGCACAATCACTTAATTTGTCTGAGTTCTGTTTAAATGTAGATTTAAATTTACAGTATGTATTAGGGAGTTGTCTCATCCCAGTGTGCACCCCCTGGGGTCTGATACAACCTTATACTCTGTTTAAAGACATCCCCCCCCCAAAATCTTATGTATAAAGATAGTTACAATTGGGGGACCCCCTCTTATTCTAAATCAAAAAATGCTATTAAGTTATATACACCTCAGATGGTCATGTTAAACAATACACAATGTGCTGTATATAAAAATTGTACTACAAAATGTCTAAGATTAAAAAGGTTAAAAAAAATGACCTGTTATAAAAAACAAAAAATCATATACAGTGATGGTCATGTGCCTTTACCATCAGGATGGTTTTATACATGTAAAAGAGTAACACTTAATTATATCCCTGCCTACTTGTCTGAGACTCGATGCTGCCTATGTTGCTTGGCCATAATATTGCCAGATCAAACTGATTCGATATTGCCAAAAAAAATTAAACGTTGGTCACCCTATACTGCACCAGAATGTGATGATGATGTAGGTCTCTTGGCAGATGCTCGAGTGATACCTATGATAATATCTGTGCTTGCTCAGCCCACCATAAAAATTCATACAAAAAAGGCAGTATGAAAATTGACATGCAAGGTGGTCAAAGGTCTAAACACTACCTCATCTGCCTTGACATTAATTAATCAGGAGTTACAAAAACACAGACGGGCTATACTAGACAATAGGACAACAATAGATTACTTGCTCTTGTTCCATCATCAAGGATGCAAAAAAATAAATAATATGTGTTGTTTTAATCTGACTGACAATAGCCCAGGGATTCAAAAATAAATAAATAAAACAATTTTAAAAATTGATGGAAAAAATACATAATAAAAAATTAGGATGGGATCTGTTTCAATGGTTAACTCAATGGTTGCCTAATATGCAATGATTAAAACAGCTTTTTCTTGTAGTCTTAATTGTAATCACATGTTTGCTGTTATCATGTTGCTACATACAATGCCTACCTTACTGTATGGAATGCTCTCAGTGGTTCATGGATTATTAAATTTGACTATTATGTTGCTAAATCAAATGTATAAACCCTTGCCTAAAAAAATGACAGAGTTAAATCAAAGGTTTGATTCTGTACAAAAACCAGTGGGGAATGTGAGACCAAAGTGAACCTAAGAAATGAACTCCCCTCATACCCCTCCCCTTATAGAGTGCTGGAATTCCCCATGAGATAGCCGCTTGCTCTGCTTCTGTAAACATGCTGTATCGCTCCCCGGGAACAGATGGTGCCCGGTGCCTCCCTGTAACCACCGAACCCTGTAGCCACAGAAGGCCCTATCTTGGTAAGATGGGTGGGATAAAAAAAGAACTGGGTTGTGAAAGATATTTCACAGCTGGCTGAAGGACATAGTGGCCTCTCCCCGAACGTCTTTGTTTGCGTTACCTATAAACCTGTACTGTCCCCTGCTTCGGGACTTCACTTCTCCTAGAGAGTGGAGTCCACGCACGTGAATAAACTCCTTTCAGTTTTAACTCTGTCTTTGTCCCAGTGTTTGGTGTTTTCCTGGTTCGCTTGACATAACAATTAGCCTATCACTCCACTTTTTTTTTTCTTTTTTGGTACCTCGGGTGGAACTCAGGACTTTGTGCTTGCAAGGCAGGCACAGAGGCACTGAGGTAAATCCTCGACCCCAGTCCACTTCATTTTTTACACTATATCCATAATCTCCCAACCCCTCCCCATCATGGGTCTAGAACTTCATTTTGAGTTTTCTCCACTTCTCCTTTTCTTGGCCAAAAATAGCATTTGGCTTTGCAACACAATATTTGTTTGGACTTATTATGGATTGCACAATTCTGAAAAGGCAAAAAAGGATCCAGTCTTGAGTCAAAAAATGGGTAATTGATTTGGAACCCCAGATCAAATATGACCTAAGCATTTATGTCCCACACTGGAGAGCCAATTCTTTTGAAAATGAAAGCTACCAATCACCAATCAACAGTGAAGGAAGGTTTGAGGGGCTGACTTTTCGGTTTGTTTCTTTCCCTTTATCTTCCATAAGTAAGCAGGGACTCACACACAAAAAGATATGAGCTGTCTGGTGTGGTGCTCAGGGATGCACAGAGTACAACCATTTTGGGTGGAGTGCCATCTTAAGAAAAAACCATGGCTCACGCTGCCTCAGCCCTACCAACATCTTATCCAAACAGTTTCCAGGGGATCAGCAATATGATCAAGGCATGAGCCAACACAGATTGTTGACTGCACTCACTCAAAGAAGACACTGCCTTTTTCCAGCCCATGCTTTTCCCTTTAAAAACAGCACTGCTCATGTTGAGTTTTACACCCAGTGAGAGAGAACCAACCAGAGACTGATATTAAATCCACACAGGAGTTTATTACCAGCTGGGACCCAAGCAGAGCATCGAGCCTTGGCTGGGGGTAGATTAACTTATTTTATACAACTTTGAGGCCAGCAGTTTCTAGGCCCCCCTACGGGGTAGAACTAGTAAAGCAAAAGGTACAGAAGCAGAACGTCCTGCTGTTAGAACATTTGTAAAACAATAGTTGATTAATTGTTGTTTCTAAGAGACTCTAAGGGGAGGAGGTTTCTAAGCTTCCTCCTTCTGAGTTCATCTAAAGGGCAGGCAGGTGGGTCATTCAGCAGCAATATGGAGTCTGTCTTGCTAACTAGGGTCCTTCATTGAGTACACAGATTAATAGAGTAGCTATTAAATTTTTCTTTCATTCAGTTTGTGTCTTAGAAAGTTCTTTTGCTGACCATGTTATTGCAGTGGCCTCTGCACCACATTTTGCATGGCCCCTGGGACTCCCCAAGCCTGGTGGAACTCTCTTCTGGGAAGTTAAGAAATATCTTCATTGTGAGCACATTCCAGCCCTGAGGTCTTGTTTCTGGAAGGCTGGACCTTACCTCCTCTGTGGCACCAGGCCTCCAACCCATGGGTTTTCAGTACTGGGTGTTGAGATATGTAGCTGTGTCAATGGACAGGGTCAAGAGAGACTGGCCAAAGAGGAAACAAGGACCTCAACTCACCCTGAATACATTCTTGATTCTTGTCACAGAAAAACATTTCAGGACATGTGAGTGAGGGGCATCGGCTCATTTAATAGGTGAGCTAGAGAGTAAGAAAGAATAGGAGGAGAATTCACCTTGAGAAGCTGAAGGGGGCATAGCTCTGATGGAGAAGATCAGACTTATCTATTAATAAAAGAACGTGGCCACCTTTCATGAATTAGCTGAGGAGAGCTGAGGTCTGACTAATCATTACTTAATTCTGGTATTGAAAGTTTGATCAGGGGAGTCCTTGTAAGTTAATTCAGTCTCCAAGAGGTGATTGTTTCTGAATAGGGCAGTCTCAGTTTTGAGGAGGCTCTCTTGAAATCCAAGGTGTCCAAATAGACTTAGGACAATGACTGAAGACATCTGGGCGCTCACTGGTAGTTGAATGTCAGTCAGTATCTCCTGCATCCATGTCTTCAGATGCCTGTACCTTCCTGTAATCATCATGATGAAGTGTTCAGACTCCTCAATCCAATCCTGCCTCCCTCACCAGGTTACAGTATATCTAGTTGCCTTTCATCCCATGGTGAAAGTATGAGTCATTGTTTCAACTTCCACTTTAGTTTTCCCTTAGAGGATGTCACAGCCTTTTGGAGGCTGATCAGACCTCCGATCCCCCTGACCAAGCATGTGGTGGTAGGAAAGCAAAAGACAAGACAAGATCTTAATGCATAAATGGGGGGACCTAGGATGGTCAGAGCTCTTCTCAGGCTAAGACACTGTCTCCTGGAGCTTGCCACTATTACTGAACATACAGCTTCTAGAAAATGTAAGGGGTGATGCAGGGAATAGTGAAGCGGAGAACACTACTCTGAACAGATTCCTAGCAACAAGGAAACAAAACATCCTAGCAAGAACAGCTCATAGATTCATGGGAAATTTGTTTCTTCCCATGGATTAATTTTTGCCTCTATAGTAGTAGTTTTCTGAATCAGTCATGCTGCCCTTGGCTGTGCTATTGTCTTGCCATCCAAGACGTCACAGTGTCACAGTTCACAGAGACCTCCACTGTAAACAGTGGTGGGGGGGGAGTGTTCCTTCCCCACATACCAATTGCTGCCTCTCCTAGCAAGCCATTGTGGGCTAATAGGCAGACTCAGACTTTTAATATGAAAAGTCAGTTTATGAGTTTGCAGCTCACTCAGGGTAGTCTTCATCAACAGGCCTCTTTTTTTTATGTTTTTATTGGTGCATTTTAGGTGTACAACATAATGACATTCATCATTGGAGATA